ATCATATCACTATAATGTATGTCGACAATCACAGATATGCTTTGGTGAATGTCCGAAATATTTATTACATCCGATTGGATATGAATTTATTCGTGGATATAATTACATTTATTCGATATTTTAACCCTACACTGATGTTTTTTTAAGGTTAAGTGCCACTGCCCGTTATACCCTACAGTGATGTTTTTTTAAGGTTAAGTTACTTCAAACACTGATGTTTCTTCTAATCTATCGTCAGTAAGTATTAAAATATAGAATAAATATATCAAATAAATATAATAATATCAACGAATAAATTAATATAAAATTGGATGTAACAAATATTTCGGACATTCACCAAAGCGACTATGTGATTGTTGACATTCACCGGTGAGAGTCAGAAATAAGGGTATTTAGCAAATATTTCGGACATACACCAAGCAACTACGTGAATGTTGACATTCACCGGTGATGTCGACATTCACCATATTTCGGTGTTTCACTGTAATATATATATGTATCGCTTTGTACAGCACTTTGAACAGCTTACTACTTGAAAGTGAACATTTTAAAAGTAAAATTTTGTTATTTCTTTAATTGCAACAGATTTATTAATCTATTTTAGAATGTAATACGAGAGTTAACGGTACATAAAAAATAGATAGAATGTTTAAATAATTAGAAAAAATTTATACGCATTTACAGTGTTTATTATTTGAACGAATTCTTAAGGAATCTATTTAAAATCATTTTTTGCTTCGAACTGCCATTTTTTTCATTAGGAAAATATCATCCTAGAAACAAAACAAAAAAAGTATTCTCGCTTTGCACTCACTTTACACTGTCAGGATTATACAAGCTTTTCAAATGTAATCTTTTTCCTAGCCAGCAGTATTGCAAACCAAAGACACATTCTTAGTTAAATGGCAGACAAAAAAACACAGAAAAGAGTTCACATAAGATGAGATAAAACTATTTTTTGAACGAAGAGAAGCTTTTGAGGGATAAAAGAAAATTCTAGAGAACACTCGATTTAACAAAACCTCGACAAAAAAAAAAAAAAAAAAAANCACAGAGCAAGACTCTGTCCAAAAAAAAAAAAAAAAAAAAGAATATCTCGTTACTAAAAGATTCCAAATGCCGCTTCCAGTCTTTTGTGAAAATGTGAAAAAGGATTTGGAAGGAATTGTTAGATGTTAAAAAAATAACTTGTGTAAGCAGTTAGGTTTAATGTTTAAAAAAATGAGTAAAATCTAAGGC